TCTGCATGGAGCACTGGGTGTTATATGCAAATAATGAATCATGGAACACTACATCAGAAACTAATGATGTAATGTATGGTGATTAACATAACATAATAATAATAAAAAAATGAAAAAAAAACTTTTCTAAGAAACACAGAGAAAAACCAATGTGATATATTTCCCAAATTGTCACAGCACACATTCAGTAAAAATCAAGCAAGTTATAAAACAATCAACTAAAGACTGAAAAAAACCTGTAAGAATTTGAAAGGCACTTTTGTAATTGTTCGAATTACCAACTATCTACATTTATACATTGCCAAAATAGAAGAACCCATAGTCTCCTGTAACTGGTCTGAAACAATGAGGTTTTGGGGGTGCCTAGGTAGCTCAGTCAATTAAGCGATTACCTTCAGCTCCAGTCATGACCTCAGGGTCCTGGGATGGAGCCCTGAAGCAGGAAGTCAGCTTCTCCCTCTTCCTCCCCTTCCTCTCCCCTGCCACCAGCTCCTGCTCACTCTCTCTCTCTCTCAAATAAATAAAATCTTTAAAAAAAAATACCTAGTAGTGCAGTTGCTGGGTCATAGGGTAGCTCTATTTTTAACATCTTGAGCAACCTCCATACTGTTTTCCAGAGTGGCTGTACCAGCTTGCATTTGCACCAACAGTGTAAGAGGGTTCCCCTTTCTCCACATCCTTGCCAACATTTGTTGCTCCCTGTCTTGTTAATTTTTGCCATTAGAACTGGTGTAAGGTGGTATTTTATTGCTGTTTTGATTTGTATTTCCCTGATGGCTGGTATGTGGAACATTTTTTCATGTGTCTGTTAGCCATTTGTATGTCTTCTTTGGAGAGGTGTCTGTTCATATCTTCTGTCCATTTTGTGTCTTGATTATTTGTTTTTTGGGTGTTTAGTTTGAGAAGTTCTTTATAGATCCTGGATACCAGTCCTTTATCTGTAATATCATTTACAAATATCTTCTCCCATTCTGTGGGTTGCCTCTTCATTTTGTTGACTGTTTCTTTTGCTGTGCAGAAGCTTTTTATCTTAATGAAGTCCCAAAAGTTCATTTTCGCTTTTGTTTCCCTTGCCTTTGGAGACGTGTCTTGAAAGAAGTTGTTGTGGCTGATGTCGAAGAGGTTACTGCCTATGTTCTCCTCTAGGACTTTGATGGATTCCTGTCTCACATTGAGGTCTTTCAACCATTTTGAGTTTATCTTTGTGAATGGTGTTGGAGAATGGTTGAGTTTCATTCTTCTGCATGTGGCTGTCCAATTTTCCCAGCACCATTTATTGAAGAGACTGTCTTTTTTCTATCGGATATTTTTTCCTTCTTTGTCCTAGTTGACATGCAAGAGTTGAGGGTCCATATCTGGGCTCTCTATTCTGTTCCATTTATCTATGTGTCTACCCTATGACCCAGCAATTGCACTACTGGGTATTTACCCCAAAGATACAGATGTTGTGAAAAGAAGGGCCACATTCACCCCAATGTTCATAGCAGCAATGTCTACAATAGCCAAACTGTAGAAAGAGCTGAGATGCCCTTCAACAGATGAATGGATAAGGAAGATGTGGTCCATATATACAATGGAATATTACTCAGCCATCAGAAAGGATGAATACCCAACTTTTGCATCAACATGGACGGAACTGGAGGAGATTATGCTAAGTGAAATAAGTCAGGCAGAGAAAGTCAATTGTCATATGGTTTCACTTATTTGTGGAACATAAGGAATAGCATGGAGGACATTAGGCAAAGGAAGGGAAAAATGAAGGGGGGAAATCAGAGGGGGAGATGAACCATGAGAGACTCTGGACTCTGAGAAACAAACTGAGGGTTTTAGAGGGGAGGAGGGGAAGGGTTAGCCTGGTGGTGGGTATTAAGGAGGGCACATATTGCATGGAGCACTGGGTGTTACACACCAACAATTAACCATGGATCACTACATCAAAAACTAATGATGCACTGTATGGTGACTAACATAACATAATAAAAAAATTAAAAAAATAAGTGGAGCTGTACATTAAAAATATAAATAAATAACAACAACAACAACAACAAAAAGGATGACTGTGCACACCAGTCAGAATGGCTAAAATCAACAACATAGGAAACAACAGGTGTTGGTGAGGATGTGGAGAAAGGGGAACCCTCTTACACTGTTGGTGGGAATGCAAACTGGAACAGACACTCTGGAAACAGTATGGAGGTTCCTCAAAAATTTAAAAATAGGGGCACCTGGGTGGCTCAGTTGTTAAGCATCTGCCTTTGGCTCAGGTCATGATCACAGGGTCCTGGGATCGAGCCCCGCATCGGGCTCCCTGCTTGGCAGGAAGCCTGCTTCTCCCTCCCCCACTCCCCCTGCTTGTGTTCCTGCTCTCACTGTGTCTCTCTCTGTTAAATAAATAAATAAAATCTTAAAAAGAATTTAAAAATAGAATTATCTTGCAATCCAGCAATTGCACTACTAGGTATTGACCCAAAGAATACAAAAATACTGATTTGAAGGGGCACATGCACCCTGATGTTTATAGCAGCATTATCAAATAACCAAACTATGGAAAGAGCCCAAGTGTCCATCGACTGATGAATGGATAAAGAAGATGTGATATATATATATATATAATAGAATATTTCTCAACCACCAAAAAGAATGAAATATTGCCATTTGCAACAGTGTGGATGGAGCTAGAGTGTGTTATGCTAAGTGAAATAAGTCAGTCAGAGAAAGACAAATACCATATGATTTCACTCATGTGGAATTTAAGAAATAAAACAGATGAACATATGGGAGGGGGGAAAAGAGAGAGAGAAAAGCAAACCATAAGAGACTCTTTTTATTATTAATTTATTTTTATTAACATATAATGTATAATTTGTTTCAGGGTTACAGGTCTGTGATTCATCAGTCTTACACAATTCACAGTGCTCACCATACACATACCCTCTCCAGTGTCCATCACCTACCCCCCTATCCTCCCACCCCCCACCACTCCAGCAACCCTCAGTTTGTTTACCATAAGAGACTCTTAACTACAGGGAACAAACTAGGGGTTGATGGAGGGAAGTACGTGGGGATGGGCTAAATGGGTGAGGGGTATTAAGGAGGGCACTTGTGATGAGCACTGGGTGTTCTATGTAAGTGATGAATCACTGAATTCTACTCCTGAAACCAATATTGTACTGTATGTTAACTGGAATTTATTTACTTTTTAAAAAAAAGATTTTATTTATTTACTTATTTGAGAGAGAGCATGAGAGAGAGAGAGAGAGAAAGCACAGGGGGAGGGAGAGGGACAAGCAGACTCCACGCTGAGCAGGGAGCCCTATGCAGTGCTCGATCCCAGGACCCTGAGATCATGACCTGAGCTGAAGGCAGATGCTTAATCGACTCAGCCACCCAGGCGCCCCAACTGACTGGAATTTAAATAAAAACTTAAAAAAAAAAAGAAAAGAAAATATGACTGTGAAAACCTAAAATGGGAGTAGCAGATCTGTGAGTTAATCAGAGAATTGTCACAGGGAATAGATTAAAATCTATTATATAAAACATATTGTATATGCTCTGTGTATACACAGTGAAGATTAATGTTGAGGAAACATTAAGGACACGGAGAGATAAACCTCAGAGTGTGTGCATTTTTATAATAATATAGCTATGTTTTTAAATATTTTATTTATATAATATGCATAATTAACAATACATATAATAAGGTAAGATATATTAAAATATATATAATATATACAAACATGCACACTGTATTCTCACACCTCAAAAAGGTATCAGAATTCCTGATGTCATTGATTAGATAGCAATATCTTTGTCCATAACTTAGAAAAGAAGACTCTTATCCAATTAGAGAAGGATGGTGTGTCCACATTTACCAAGAATTTGCAATGGAGATAAGCAGACACAGGTGGAGAAAAGTACATGGTGTATACTGGGCCTCACAGGGTCAGGGAATTCCTTCCTTCCTGATTCTTGGTCTTGAAGCATTTGCACTTGCCTGGGATCTCAGTGACAATAAAATTGTTTGACTAACGAGGAGCTTTGGAAATTGAACCTCTAGGGATACAGAGACTGCAATCTGCCTGTGACCGCTTATTTCAGCAATCCTTCCCATGAAAAGCAGTAGCATAATTGGGCCTCCTCCCATAGATGGTCCTTCTTGCTCAGGAGCCTAGGTCTCATTCAGTCCCTCTGCCCTTTCTGAGTACAAATCTCCCAGATGGCGCCTTCAGGGGAAGTGTCAATCATCATTCCACTGTGATGCCAGCCAGGTAACCTACGTGGATGTTTGGAAGTGAGGGCAGGTGTTTCACTATAGGTTCATCCAGGGGAAGTTGCGAAGAGAGTACATGTACCAGATGATTGGAATCAAGTCATCCAGTGTCCTCCTGCCTGTCTGGGATTCTCTTCACATCCTTGTACTTTGTACCAATTTCAAGTACCTCCATTTACTAATGTACTCACTCTCTAGTATGGCCAGGGCCATTTCTTAATGAGTAGAAATCTGCTTTTTTAAAAGATAGGATGACTGTTAGACAAGTCTCTGACATTTACTTACAATTTTGTGGAGGTGAGAGGGCAGGGAATATTTGGTAAAGTTCACTTTATTTTCCCATTCTTGGTTCTAGACATACTTATGTATTATCTCAGGTGCTTGCCTCTAAGGTCTCTGGGGATCCAGACAGAATCTTCGGCCGCCTCCCCAGTCTGTTTCTCTTTATAAAATTACCAAATGTTTCAAATAATCAAAATGATATAGATAGGGCAATATTAAAAAATGGCCACCTGTTAACCCTTTTAGTAATTAACAATGGATGACACTCTCCTGTATCAACTTCAGGTTTTTGTTAAAGGAACAGAATAATAGGCATACAGAAAGCATCCACTTCTTATCCCTCTCTATTAGTCTCCATCCCATCCTAAGACAGTGTTTGTCTCTGGTGATGCTTCTCCTGATGGTCTAGAAAACACACATTTGATTGTGTTGTCACTCCACCTTCTCCATCAGATTCATCAACAACATGGGACCCAGAAACAAAACAGGGGTTTCAGAATTCCTTCTTATGGAAGTGACAGAGGATCCAGAACTGAAGCCCCTTCTCTTTATTCTGTTTCTATCCATATACCTGGTCACCATCCTGGGAAACTTGCTCATCATCCTGGCTGTCGGCTCCGACTCCCACCTCCACACCCCCATGTACTTCTTCCTCTCCAACCTGTCCTTTACTGACATCTGTTTAAGTACAACCACCATCCCAAAGATGCTGGTGAACATCCAAGCACAGAATCAGAGCATCACTTATACAGGCTGCCTCACACAGATCTACTTTGTCCTGGTTTTTGCTAGTTTGGAAAGTTTTCTTCTTGCAGTAATGGCTTATGACCGCTATGTGGCCATCTGTCATCCACTGAGGTACACAGTCATCATGAACTCCCACCTCTGTGGCATGCTGGTTCTACTCTCCTTGTGCATTAACATTGTGGATGCCCTGATGCACAGTCTGATGGTGTTGCAACTGACCTTCTGCACAGGCCTTGAAATCCCTCTCTTCTTCTGTGAAGTTGTTCAGGTCATCAAGCTTGCATGTTCTGACACCCTCATCAATAACATCCTGATATATTTTGCAACTGGCATATTTGGTGGTATTCCTCTGTGTGGAATCATTTTCTCTTATACTCAGATAGTATCCTCTGTTTTGAGAATGCCATCAGCAGGTGGGAAGTATAAAGCTTTTTGCACCTGTGGGTCTCACCTGTCAGTTGTGTCTTTGTTCTATGGGACAGGTTTGGGGGTATACATAAGTTCTGCTCTTACTAACTCTTCCAGAAACACTGCAGTGGTTTCAGTGATGTACACTGTTGTCCCTCAAATGTTGAACCCCTTCATCTACAGCCTGAGGAACAGGGACATGAAGGGAGCCTTGAGGAAACTCATGAGTAAGATATCATTGTTTTTTCAGGAGTGTGTTGTTTAATTTCCACATATTTGTATATTTTCCTTTTGTCCTTCAGTTACTGATTTCTAGCTTCACACCATGTTGATTAGAAAAGACACTTTGAATGATTTCAATATTTTTAAATTTACTGAAAACTGCTTTGTGGCCTAACATATGATCTATCCTGAGGAATGTTCCAGGTGCTCTGGAGAAGAGTGCATTTTTTACTGTTGTTGGATAGAGTGTTCACATGTGTCTGTTAGGTTTCGTTTGTTTATATATTTCTTATCAGTCTATCCAGGGACACTAAGCATTGTTGAACGTGATGTATTGAAGTCTCTTAAACATTATTGTGGAAACGTGTATTTCTTACTTCACTTCTGTCATGTTTGCTTCATGTATTTTAAGGCTCTGTTGTTTGGTGTATGTATGTTTATAATTGTTATATTGTCTTGATTATTGACCTTTTAATCTCTATTTCTGTGTATCTGTTTATCTATTTTCCATCTTGCTTGCTTTGTTTATTTTAACAGTTTTGACTTAAAGTCTATTTTTATCCCCTGACATTAGTTCTCTTTTGGTAACTATTTGCCTGGACTGTATTTTTTATTTTTAAATTTAAAGTCTATTTGTGTTTGTGAATCCATAATGAGTCTCTCATAAACAGCCTATATTCATGTCATGTTTTCTTTATCTTTCTTCCAATCTCTACCTTTTGATTGGAGAGTTTAATCTACTTACCTTTTTTTTTTAATTTTATTATGTTATGTTAGTCACCATACAATACATCATTAGTTTTTGATGTGGTGATCCACGATCCATTGTTTTCATATAACACCCAGTGCTCCATGCAGTACGTGCCCTCCTTAATACCCATCACTGGGCTAACCAATCCCCCCTCCAGGGAGAAAAAACAAACAGGGTTTTTTCTCAGAGTCCATAGTCTCTCATGGTTCATCTCTCCCTCCAATTCCGCCCCCCCTTCATTTTTCCCTTCCTTCTCCTAATGTCCTCCATGCTAAGGAGATACTTAATTATTCCATTAAAAATTTTATTTTATTTATGTCTAATGCCTTTTTTTGTTGTTGTTGTTCTTTATTTCTTCCATTACTGCCCTCCCTACTGCCTTGATTTTTTGTGGTGAACATTTTGGATTTTTCCTCATTGTCTTTTTGGAGTATATCCAGATAATTGTCTTTATGGTTATCATGGGCATTACATTTAATATGCCAAGTTTATAAAAATCTAGTTTGAATTCATACCACTTTTATTTCAATAGCATGAAAAACCTCTGCTCTTATATTGCTCTGTCCTTCTTTATGTTGTTACTGTCACAAATTAAATCTTTATACATTGTTTCCAATAGCATAGATTTAACATTTTTTACATTTGTTTTTTAAAGCGAGTAGGAAATAAAAAGAGGAGTTATAAGCCAAAAATACAATGCTGTTTTTTTATTTGTCCATGCATTTATCAGAAATTTTTATTTTTTTCATACAGAATTGAATGCTGTTTAGTGTCTTTTCATTTTAACCTGAAGGAATCTGTTAGATATTTTCATAGAGCAGGCTTAGTGGTAATGAACTCCTTCAGTTTTATTCTTCTGGGAATGTTTTCTTTCTCCCTCATTTTTGGAAGGAAAATTTTGTCAAATATAAAATTGTCAGTTTTCTTTCAACACTTTTAAATATGTCATCCCACTACCCTCTCGCCTTCATGGTTCTTATGAGAAATTGGTTGTTAGTCTTATTGAGGACCTTTTGTATGTGTGGAATTGATTTTCTCTTAAGTTCTTGTATATGATGAGCTCCTTTCAAGATTCTCTCTTTCCCTTTGGCTTTGCCAGTTTGACGATAATGAGTCTTAGTGTTAGTATCTTTGAGTTATCCTCCTTGGAGTTCACTAAGGTTCCTAGTTTTGTAGGTTCATGTCTATTTTCATGTTTGGGGAGTTTTTGTTCATTTTATCTTCAGTTACTCTTCTCCTTCTGGGACTCCCATAATGCATATGTTTTTTTCACTTGATGGTGTCCCACCAGTCCCTTAGGGTCTGTTCACTTTTCTTCATTCTTTTTTCTTTCCGCTTCTCAGACTCAATATTATAATGTAATAGCTCTAGGTATCGGAATCTCCTGCAGAGTTTGCTCTTTTCCACAGTTTTATTGAGAAATAATTGACGTACATCACTATATAAGTTTAAGGTATACAGCATGGTGGTGTGTTTTACATATATTGTGAAATGATTGCCACAATAGGTTTAGTTAACATCCATCATCTCATATAGATACAATCAAAAGAAAAGAAAAATATTTTCTCCTTTGATGAGAACTTGAAGGATCTATGCTGACAACTTTCCTATATATCAAATAGCAGTGTTGGCTGTAATCATCATATTGTATGTTATATCCCTAGAACTTACTTATCTTATAACCCGAAGTTTGTACTTTTTGACCACCTCCCTCCAATTCCTCTTCACCCCACCTCTCATCTCTGGTAACCACAAATCTGTTTTCTTTTTCTATGAATTAGGTGTTTTGTTTTTTAGATTCTACATATAAGTGAGATCACACAGTATTTGTCTTTCTCTGTCTGATTTGTTTCATTTAGCATAATGCCTTCAAGGTCCATCCATGTGTGTCTGGTGATGGATGAATGGATTAATAAGTTTTGGTGTGTGTGTGTGTGTACCATAAAAAATGAGGCAATCCTACCATTTGCTTTTTAAAAAATTGTTCAAGGTGGTAGTAGTCTGTTTAGTAACTTTCCCAGAATATATTTGCAAAGACTATAATTTTTATTTTATGGGGTCATTGAAATCTGTGTTCCTTACTTCATTCAGCTAGTGTTATGACAGAATTCCTTAAATGCCAGGAGTGATACAAACACACAAAGAAATAACACAGCTCTCCCAGTCTTTTCAGATTGGATCTGTGCTGCAGTACTCTTTCAACACTTATCCAGGTTTGCACTGAGTGTAGAGAATAATGTGAAAGTTTAGGATCTTCTCTGGTCTTTTCTGAGTATATGTTTTGCCATCGGCATGCATGTGGCTTTCTAAATTTTCTCATATACTTTGTTGCTTTTATTTTTTTATTTTATTTTTAAAGGTTTATTTATTTATTTCATTTTCTTAAAAAGATTTTATTTATTTATTTGACAGAGAGAGACACAGTGAGAGAGGGAACACAAGCAGGAGGAATGGGAGAGGGAGAAGCAGGCTTTCCGCTGAGCAGAGAGCCCGATGCGGGGCTTGATCCCAGGACCCTAGGATCACGACCTGAGCCAAAGGCAGATGCTTAACAACTGAGCCACCCAGGTGCTCCAGGTTTCTTTATTTATTTTAGAGAGAGAGAGAGTGAGCAAGGGGAGGGGCAAAGGTAGAGTAGGGGAGAGAGAATCTCCAGCAGATTCCCTGCTGAGCATGGAACCCAATGTGGGGCTTGATCCTACAATGCTGAGATCATGACCTGAGCCAAAATCAAGAGTCAGATGCTTAACCAACTGAGCCACCCAGGTGCCCCAACTTAGTGGCTTTTAGACATCTGAATTTCCTAAAGAAAAATTCCTCTGTTTTACTCTGGGGTTAAGCTGGTCTATTTTATGGTTTTTAAAATTTTACAGAAGATTTTATTTATTTATTTATTTATTTATTTATTTATTTATTTATTTATTTATTATTTTGGGGAGACAGAGAGAGTGCTAGTGGGCAGAGGGAGAGAGGGAGAAGGAGAGGAAGAGAATCTTAAGCAGATTCTACACTGAGTGTGGAGTCCAACACAGGGATCATGACCTGAGCCAAGATGCTTGGCTTGACCCTAAACTTTCCCATTGGTTAAGCACAAGTCAGACTCTTAACCAGCTGAGCCACTCAGGTGCCCCCTATTTTATGTTTTGACTTAATCTTTTACTGTAAGTGTATATAGGCTGCTAGTTTGGTTTGCAGTATTTTCTATCAATACCCACTATTTTTCCAGCCTGAGTTCTGAGTTAGGCAAAACAGAGATGAATGCCTTGTGTCAGTCATTCGAGTAGCTCCCAGATGGGTTAAAACAGACATGCAGAATGGTTTGAGAAAGGATATACTCTGGTTCCTCAGAATACCTGGACCAGGGTCTCATGCTGAGAACACAGGCTATGACCATTTTCATACTAAGACTATTGCTATGCCAGGGAAAGTGAGGGGCAAGGGCAAGTAAAAATGCCACATAACTTTCCTGCCAGTTTGAAGTTGCTTATTTCTTGATCCAGCACTTACTTGGTTGCTGTAAATTTTGACTATTTTCAGGAGTTCTGACAAGGTTAGTTCTGACAATTCTGCTTGCTTTTTTCAGTGTTACTTTGAGAGGACAAGAGCTTTGAGCTGCCCAATCTCCCATTTTGCCTTTTTGCTGAGGCTGCTCTTCCATGCACAGTTCATTTTGATTATAGGGAATACATTAGAAATTGTTGAACATACAGGTCAAGGCTCTCAGGCTGTGCTTTCCCATGGGGGAGCCACTGCACACATGTGGCTGTTGAGCACATGAAGAATGGTGGTCTGAACTGAGACAGGTGCTGAGTTTCAAACCCACAGTGGATTTCAAAGAGGAAAAAAGTAAAATAGCTCATTAATAATTTTACATGGTTTACATACTGAATTAATATACTAGGTTAAATAAAATGTATTGTTAACATTTATTAAAAAAGAAACTGTTGAATATAATACGTAGAAACAGAATACAATGAGCCATACATAGAATTAGTCCTTAGAATTTGCTTTTTATGGTATATTTGCTATATTATCATGCATATTATCACTTGCATTTTATAGGTGATCTATCTATCTATTATCTATCTATCTATCTATCTATCTATCATCTATCATCATCATTATCTATCTATCATCTATCTATTATCTATCTATCTATCTATCTATCTATCTATCTATCTATCTATCTATCTATCATCATCATCATCTATCATCTATCTCCATATAATAAACTATACTTTTGAGCTTAACATGTCCTGTCTTCCTTAGATTGTTGCTATAAAGGGTGCCTT